GCAATGGGGGAATATACAAATGTCTGATGTTACCAGTAAAAAGTGGCCTACATTATTTTAAATATATCTAGTCAATGACAGTGAAAGCACATTCGTTAGGGGTGTAACGATACCTTTATGTCACGATTCGATACATATCGCGATACTGAACTCACGATACGATATTATTGCGATACTCCAAGATATATGGTAAAAGGTTAACAAAAAATGTTCTGTTGATTAAAATGCTAAATTTGGTATTTCATTCTGGGTGTAAATGAATAGTCTTGGACTTTGCTGAAACCTTAAGCACAGGACAATAGAGACACCAGAATAACAATATTCATAATTCTGAAGCTGAAAATACAGAATTATTTAAGACGAATATGCTTTCACTGTCACTGACTAGATTTATTTAAAATAATGTCGGCCACTTTTTACTGGTAACATCGGACATTTGGCATTATCAGGACCCACAAATATTCCCCCATTGCATTATTATACATTATATACAACATTATAGTAGTTTAATGTAGTTCTGACATTAAAACTCTGTAAACTTACATTTTTTCTTGGACAATAATTTTCATTTTGGGTTAACTATACCCAATACGATATATTGTGACACGATATATTGTTACACCCCTAATATTCGTCTAAAATAATTCTGTATTTTCAGCTTCAAAATCATGAATATTGTTATTCTGGTGTCTCTATTGTAGGGCTGGGGGAAAAAATCGATTTGAATTAAAAATCGAGTTGGTAGGTCAAATCGATTCATATTTTCAAAAAATCGATTTTTTTAGTTTTGTTTTTCTCCCCATGGCCCATTATAAATAATTTGGATGTTTAACAATCTTTGTTGCACACTGCACAGTGACTTTTCAGTTAGAGAAAGAGTTTGCCTTTTGCAATTTTGTTTATGTTGATGCACTTTAATTAAATACAATAAATATATATTTTAAAAATATATTTAGAGTGTGCAGTTATTTTGTTTTAAATGGAAGGGGGATCGAATCGAAAATAGAGTTTTTTTGTAAAAAAAAAAAAAGATTTTTTTTAGAAAAAAAAAGGAAAAAGAAATTCGCCCAGCTCTACTCTATTGTCCTATGCATTGGGTTTCCAGCACTAAATTCAAGCCTACTCATTTACACACACAATGTAATATCAAATTTAGCATTTTAATCAACAGTGTATCGCAATAATATCGTATCGTGAGTTCAGTATTGTGATATGTATCGAATTGTGCCATGAGGGTTTTGTTACACCCCAACTAGCCACCATCTCTATCCCACATCTAAATGCAGCTCACCATCACTGAACACATCACGGATTGATGATATAAAACTCTGGATGGGTCTTCTTGTAAATCGTACAGTGTGCACGACGGCTCAAAGGGTTAATTCACCCAAAAATAAAGAAATATCCCATAATTTACACACCCTCAACTCAAGCCATCAAGTGAATATGACATTCTTCTTTCAGCCAAACACAATTGAAGCTTATAAATAATATCCTGGCCCTTACAAGCTTTCTAAAGGCATTGAACCATGTCCGAATTTTTTAAGCTCCAAAAAGTGCATCCATCCATCACAATAGTAATCCATGCGGCTCCAGGGGGTTAATAAAGGCCTTCTGAAGCGAAGCCATGGGTTTTTGTAAGAAACAAATATTTATAAACTATAATTACTGGCTTCCGGCAACGGCCGTACACGTGTTCACGAGAGAGTCGAGTTCAGGAGTAATACTGACCCGCTGAATTACGCATGACATTAGCCTAGGCCAGGGGTCGGCAACCCAAAAAAAATGTTGAAAGAGCCATATTGGACCCAAAAAAAAAAAAAAAAAAAAAAATCTGTCTGGAGCCGCAAAAAATTAAAAGCTTTATATAAGCCTTATAATGAAGGCAACACATGCTGTAAGTGTTATATTAGCTTTATTAGTATCAAAATGATAAGTAGGCTATACATTAGAGCTTATATCGGGCCCAAAAAAAATCAAGCCCGGCCCGGCACATTAAACGTAATTATGAGCCCGAGCCCGATTTTAACCCGACCATTTTTTAATGCGTGGGTCGTTATGACTGACGTTCTCAACTTTCTTTCTCCCGCCCGCAACATGTTTTGTCCCGCTCCCGCCCGCAAATAGACTTTTTTCTGTACCTCCAAATACTTTCAAGTTAGCCTACGTGTCGCCACCATACATCCTCCTGATAAATTATTTGTTATTAAAGCATTAAAACACAAATCACTGTTAATTTAACATAAAAGCAAGCAGTTTACTGCGTGCATGGTTTGGTTTGGCATGACTGAATGCGCAAAGTGCGCTCTCTTAATAATTCCTAAAAAGCTGACAGTTCATCGCGATCTCACACATCTCTGTTATTATCAATGAAGCTGACTGCACAATGAATCTTTCATAATATCCACACTTTGTTCTTTATAATTAGAGGATTTGCCAGCATACAGAATTCAGCACTGAACAAAAAAGTCCGTTTTGAGCGGTGAGGGGAGTCTATCTTAAATGCTTCTGATTGGCCATTGCGTTCAAGAAATCAACACATATGTCTGTGATTGGCTACATCGCTCAACGCTGCAAACATGTTATGAATAGAAATTCTGGCCTGTAAATCGTTTCCGTTTTGTTTTAGTAGAGTGAGTGCATTACCACATGCGCCCGCGCCCGCGCCCGGCCATCAAATCTAGTCCCGCGCCGCACTCTATTGCGTTGGGAGTCCTCAGCTATCTTTCTCTTTTTCCCCTTGGGATCCATGGCCCATGACACACCCGCCGGTTTGTTTGTTTGTTTGTCAGCCACCGGTCTGGCATCACGCCGATCTGATGCCGATCTGATGTCACAGTCTATGACGTAAATTCTTCGTTGACAGAAATGTTGAAATTAAATATTTATTATACACATTTTTACAACGTTGAAAAACTTTGAGAATGTTTGTCATGTTTTTCCTCCTACAGAAATTATATTAAACCAAAAAATATTTTTTCCATTTTCAAATTTTTGAAAAAGCTCCAGGGAGCCACTAGGGCGGCGCTTAAGAGCCGCGGGTTGCCGACCCATGGCCTAGGCGTAGCGTAAGCTTAGGTGAGAATTGACGAGCGCGAAAACACAGAGGATAGAGCAAAACAAAACGCCGGTCACGGATAAGAAGTCTAAAACGTTTTAAAGAGAAATGTCGAAGGATTTCGATATAATAGAAGAGGAGCTACGTCATACTTCACATGTCGGGTCAGAGGTCACCGTTCCGCCGGAACTCGTCTCTCTAGTGATTATAGTTTATAAAGATTTAAATGTGGATATTTTTCTTGCAAACCCCATTTTTTGGAGTTTGAAAAACTCGGGCACTATTCAACGCCATTATAAAGCTTGGAAGAGCCAGGAGGATGTTATTTAATAATATAACTCCGATTGTGTTTGGCTGAAAAAAGAAAGTCATACACCTAGGATGGCTTGAGGATGTGTAAATTATGGGATAATTTTAATTTTGGGTAAACTATTCTGGCTTTAAGATCAGTGGGCATCCATGAAGGTTCTCCATGATTGAATAAAGCAATAAAATACAACATAAGGGATAAAAATGAATGGGAACACAACAAAGAAAGCTGAATCAGATCACCTGAGCACTTGCGGATCTGCAATTCAACTCTCTTCTCTAAAAGTGCAGAACCCCAATTACTAAAGAGCACGAAGCCTTTGGCCCTCATTCAAAACTAAACTCACAGGCTAATCTCTGATTTAACTGTTACTGCACTTTGACATTTTGCAAATACTTTTTATCGAAAGCAACCTGCGCCGTGATCATTCCTCATGCAGTTAAACTGCCAGGCGCTCCAACATCCTTCATCTGAGATACAGAAGGAAATAAAAATGAGGATTCGTTTTGAGGATTGAAGGAGAAGTAGCTGAATTGCTAAAATGCTAGGCTATATTGAGAAAAATATTCGAACAGGCTATTCCAAATCATCTGCAATCTGGTGTGAGAAGACAAAACAAACGATTTCTCCTGAACCTTGATCCTGTTTGACACTGACAGGCACAAACAGTAAATCCCAATATAAAAGATTATATTCAGAACGTAATTCTGTGGGTGTTTCTTCAACTTTTGAAGTCCCACTTTTATGTGCAATGGGTTGGTTTTTTATTAAAATTAACAATTTAAACTTTTCCGCTTTTAGTACATCGATCAATATTGTGTAACGAACCCTTAAAAAAGTAGCCTAAGTGTTTGCACTTTTAGTAAATTTGAGTTCTCAACAGAAAATGCTAAATAATGGCAACATGATTTTTAAAGATTTTAGCCAACTTTTGAAGTCCAATGGGTTGGTTTTGATACTAAAAAAGTCAATATTTATTGTGAAAATGATATCAATATAACTTTTGCGCCATTTCCAACACAAACAACAATTTTCTAACCCAATGTTTTTCTATGAAAGTGTTGAATGCAAAGTTTACCAAGAGACAGTGAACAGCATTGGTTGAGATATAACGTTACACGTGATGTTAAAAAATGGGAAAATAGTGGGAAATATTATTTAACTGTATTGTATTCAGAACATATAAAATACTAGCATCTACTGTGTAACCACTGTTAATAGAGAAATTAAACTAACAAAAAGGGTGTTTTAAGAGCTTATTTTAAAAAAAACCAACAGGCCCAAATTGGCCCATATTTAAAAAGACACCCATTTTATTCACAATACATGTAATATCAGCAGTCTGCAGACTTTTCCACTTTCTTCAAATAGCAAAAGACTGAAGCCTCATCACATTTCAAGGCGTTTGTAAATTGTATGACTTCAATGTCAAAGGAAACGGATGTTGGACAAACTTCGACTGGAACACAACACATTTTCCGCTAGATAAATACGTTACAAAACTTGTTGCTGGCTTGTTTATCGTGCCTTTGAGCCTTATATTCTGGATTGAAACCCTTAACAAGCATAGCTCATGGCTTAATCGCCATAGTGATACCACAGTAACCTATTGAAATATCGAAATCCACTTACTCGTTGTTGTTTTGATCTTCTCCAGTTATGCACTCGATGTCCCGCGTCGTCAAACTCTCCTAGAGTTCCTCCTCACTGTGAATGTGATGTGAAGCTGTTTATCTCCGGTACATTTACATGCAGACTGCGTTCAAGAGCGAGAAAAACGCCATGTGAATAAAAGTTGACACCGCTCGCTCAGACTCCTTCCCTTTCTTCTGCCATGGCAACCGAGCGGCGAAATAATATCTCCCATAAACATTTACCAGGAGACAGGATCATGGAGAAACACTTCCAACAGGTTGTTTTTAGCAAACAGGGCCATCATCAACATTAACTCATAACGTTTATTCCAGCAATAGCACTGAGCAGGCGTGTATGAGAGTCTTCACGGATGAAATTAGATGCTGGGGCTTCGCATTATGCCCATTGATCCAATTACACGGGTTAACCCTTTCAGGTTCAAAGTACAACAAACGGCGGAATATTTTAGTGCTTGCACACTTGTAGGGTTTTATATACTTGTTTCTTCTACGTTAAGTAAATACTGCTTATTACAATTCGATTATTAAAGTACTAAGGATAGAAATAATATTTGAGATGTGTACAGTCACTTAGTGATAATAAGTGCAACAGCGCCCTCTGTAGACCGAGAAGAGGATATTTGTTCTCAACTGAACTAACTGACCTGTGATGACGCGTTGTAACGGTTAATCCTGTAAAGTTTTTTTATATTTTAATTTTTTTAATGTTTGTACATTTATAACACTATACTTTGTATTATATGACATTTGCATCAAATTACAAGAAAAAAAATAAAAACGAGTTAATTTACGTTGCCGTGTACACGAAAAATGCAAAGGAAAAACGTTTCCGGTTTTAGTACATCGTTCGTTTTCATGTAAACCAGAGCCGTAAGTTCGTGTTTGCGCTCCCTTAAAATTTTAATTGTAGTCAATTTGGATATTTGAGTTATCTAAAAAAAAAAAAAAAGAAGATGTTGTCACACTACATGGGGGTAAGTAAAACGTACCTTTAGAAAAGACTACTGGAAGTTTAATGCGGAACTTTTAAAGGACAAAGATTATAGTCAAATAAGAAATTTGATTATTGAGATTCAAGATGACCTCACTTTAACTTCTAATGGGAATAAATGGGAGTATTTTAAATTTAAAACAAGGGAAGTTTCAATTAGATTAGGCAAACAAAAGAACAAAGAACAGAAGCAAAAATTCAAGAGATTAACACCTGTTGTAATACAATGACTCAAGAAGTTCTTGATAAATTACTCTCTCTTCAGGCTACATTAGATCATTTTTATTTAATGAAAGCACAAGGAGCTTTTGTACGGTCTCGTGCAAAATGGTTGGAGAAAGGAGAGAAGAATACAGCATATTTTTGTCAGTTAGAAAAGAGGAGACAGAAAAGCAATGCTGTGAATAGTTTGATTGTTAATGAGAAGGTAATCACAGACCCCAAATTAATATCCGAGGAAGTTTACTCATTTTATAGTGATATTTATTCTTCTTCATATTCTGTCAGAAATGGTCAAGAATTTCTAGAAAAGATAAAAGATTTTATTCCACAGATTGATATTGAATTTAAAGAAAGCTGTGATGTAGACCTGAGATTGGAGGAAATCGATTCCGCTATTAAAAAAATGTCTTTAGGTAAATCTCCCGGTCAGGATGGTCTGACTACAAATTTTTCTGGGAAGATTTAAAAGATTTGCTGTTTAAAGCTCTAAAGGATTGTTTTGATTCTAACTCTTTACTTCCAACTATGAAGCAGGGGTTGATCATTCTCATCCCAAAGTCAGCCAAAGACAAAAGAGTTATTGATAATTTGAGACCGATTACCCTAATCAATGTTGATTATAAAATTCTTACATCTGCTATTGCAAACAGGCTAAAATGTATGTTGAGTCAAGTTATAAGTGAAACGCAATCTGGTTTTATTAAAGGAAGGTTAATACACAACAATATTAGACTTATTTTGGATTTAATTGATTATGCACATTTGATTAAGGATGATGGGTTTATTCTGTTTCTTGATTTCTATAAGGCATTCGATAATGTAGAACATACGTTCATTTTACATACACTTACATCCTTTGGATTTGGTTATAAATTGGTTAAATTGATAGAGATGTTGTATAAAGATATTAATAGTTCAATATCGCTTCCAGTTGGGACTTCTAAGCGTTTTAACATAAACAGAGGTATTAGACAAGGAGATCCGACTAGTCCGTATTTGTTTATTTTAATAGCTGAACTTTTGGCAATTTATGTGAAAAATAGTAAAGATGTGTTGAGCCGTTGAATGTTTTGGGGAGTCAGCTATTAATAAGTCAACTAGCAGACGATACTACTCTGTTTCTCAGGGATGCAGAGCAGATCCCAGCTGCCATTAAAGGTGAACTAAGTAACTTTTTTACCTTAACCGAACAGCTTTGGAGTCATTGTAATGTTTATATTACTGATTTCGTGTTGAATGATGGTCGTCTCGCACCCCCCTGGTGCTTGTGAGCCGCAAAACCACCCTTGCAACTTTGGGCCGGCGAGCCAAGTATCGTGTGATATCAGGTCTCGCGAGGTAACGAATTGCTTTACGGCAAAAAACAGATCTGATAAAATGAGCATCAAACAGAAATAACCCGGCGCCGTATACATGTGGTGTTCGAGGCGCACATACAATACAGACTGCCGACAGTTAAACAGGGCGCGTGCAGCTCTTAAAGGGGCCATACCTTATTTCCACTCGTTACAGCGTCCATCCTACTGAACAGGTACCGGTGTACAGGGGGAGGGGATCCGGCCGTGAGTGCGAGCCATCTCTGCGTGAGTGCTATTCACGACAGTACAAGTACTCCTCAGCGACTCTAGGGGTCGCTGTTTGACAAAAACGGAATTCCTACTTAGTGCTGCTTTAATTTAGTGTCACATTTTTCCAAAGCTTCTGGTTTGAATTTAAATAAAAAAAAAGTGTGAGTTGATGGCATTGCGCATAATCGGACTGAATCTCAATTATTTAATATTCCATTAAAAAACGAGGTAAAATATTTAGGTATTGTTATTACTAAAGACACTAAAACTAGAGAAAAAATTAATTTGGCTGACAAAATATGTTAAATGTGTTGTTACAAAGGGATATTTCCATTTTGGGCAGAATTTTATTACAGAGGTACTTTCTAGGCTGATTTATCCTGCATATTATTTAGGTATCTCTGACAGGTGGATAAAGGATATCAATCAAATTCAGTATAAATTTCTTTGGAAAAACAAACACCATTACATAAGAAAATCAGATGTAGTGAAGCCAATCAGTGAGGGAGGTTTGAATATTATTGATTTCGATGTTATGAATGGCACTCTTAAACTGAGATGGCTCCAAGCTTTCCTTAGGAATAAACATTCTGTTTGGTCTAGTTTTTCTTCAAAAATCTTTGATTTTCTTTTGAGATGTGATTTTGAGCCATCAAAACTAAAGTGTAAATTGTCGTCTTTTCATAGTCAGGTATTATTGTATTGGAAACTGATATACAAACACAATTTTTCCCCACATATTGTTCTTTGTGGAATAATAAGTGTATCCTTATTAATAGGAAATCTGTGTTCTTTCAGGACTGGATGGATAAAGCTGTCTGGTCCATTGTACACATTATGGATGGGGAAGGGAATTTCCTTAGTTATGGCAATTTTTGTGAAAAAAATATCATATTATTTGCACTTTGAAATTATATGTGGCTTTATTAAAAGCTGTTCCTGGTGGTTTGGTTCAGCTGGTTAAAGGTGCATTGTGTTATTCACCTGTGATTCCAAGATTGAAGAGTTTATTCATTTCTGGTTTTAATTTTACAGAGGAGGGCTGTAAGATTAAAGTTTTAAGATCATTGGTAAATATAGAGACTTTCCCTTGTAAAGTTAAAAAGAGACCTCTTATATTTGATTTCCCGAAAGACAAAGTGGGCCAAATTAGAACAAGATTTCTCACTTTTCCACTTTTTCCAAAGGTAAAAGAGGTTCAGTTTAAAATTATCAATGATATTTATCCTTGTAATGATTTCCTCAGACACAGATTTAATATGGATTGTAATGAGTGCTCTTTTCGTGAAGCAGACATAGAGTCGTTGGAACATTTATTTTATTTATGCAAATTATCAAAGAAATTCTGGCATGACCTTTGTGTTTGCTTAAGTTATGTAATACATGACTTTAATTTTAAAACTATAAAATATTTGTCTTTTTCTTTGAATTACGATCATGAATTTTTGGTGAACAATATTGTGATGTTGGCCAATTACTTCATACACAAATGCAGATTCTTTAAGAACCATCCCACTTTCTTACTTTTCCATAAATATTTAATGATCTTCTTCAAATCTTTAAGACTTGTGCATGAGCCCTTAAAATTATATAATCTTTTGGAGGTATTTTTTGATGATAACCCCCTTGTGTAATATTTTATTTATTATTTATTTTATTTTTTGTTCTTTGTGTTTTGCGTTTTATTTAGATTTATGGTTTTTATTTATATTTTGTGCTGCTATTTGGACTTCTTTGTAATCGAATACGATTTGTATCTTGAGGTTTGTTTGGTGTTTTGTATGTTTCTTTAAGCAATAAAAAAAATAAAAAAATAAAAAATACATGGAGGTAAGTTGTCACAACATAACCTGCCATTAAACAGCCTATTGATTTTCAACACAATTTCAATATTAAATATCATATGAAACAATATACATGAAACAGAAAATGTAACATACATAAATATGTAAATATTGAGTAAATATTGCGATTAATAAAATGTTGCTCTTTATACAGTAAATTATGTAATTAATCTATAACATTTAATACACATTAAAACCCCTGATCTGCCATTTCTATAAATGTGAGGGAGACGCAACTGAAAGATATAGAGTAGAACTGAATGAAAAAGTGTTTTTAACTGTTTTTTATACGACACTAGAATTGACAGCTTAGTAAAATCAATATAGCATAAATCACATATAGCAAACAGATGTAAAATATTAAATATACAACCAAATGATATGCTTTCATAACATTTTAGATTGTTAGATGTTTAGATGTTAAACTCTTTTTTTTTCTCTTAATATTTAAAACAAATCCACCAGGAGGTGCTACACACACAACATTATAACTTGTAGAGTAGCCACTAATAAAAGTCTGTCAAGTTTGGGTCTCTTCATTTAATGTCTCCAGTGATTTAAACTCCAGTGCTGCTAATAACAAGAGATAATTAGATGAGATTATGACAGGGTATGACAGTTTATGTCTTCATCATCCCAGTGTAGTTTTAACAGATGTTGTTTAAGTTCATATGCATGCCTATTATTAAACTCATGTGCTTAAAACTTATATACTCATAATGCATTCTTCAGGAATGTGCTTTTTTGCTTAGTTGTACAGACCATTTTGATAATCCCACCATAAAAGTCTTAATATATTGGATTTAAAAAAAAATGGACATTTTTCAAAGACAGAAATCATATTAGTGTATCAAGCAGTTTCATCCTTGTGTCTTTTGTATTATCCCTTTAATTAGCAAAAAAACAGGTCGAAATTAGAATTGGTTTTTGGCAAAGCAAACATGGGCTATTTATAAACAGATTTTTATCAATTGTGTAATGTTTTGTCACGTTGGTTTGTATCGCTTTTTATCATTTTATCTTATCCTGATCATTAAAAAAAAAATCTCATCCTCACAAAATTACAAAAATCTTATACAATTTTTTTTATAAGATGTTCGATGATTTCATTGCTAACAATTTAGCGCTTGATTCCATCCTGTTAAACATCCTGTTCATTGACACAGTGTAAATAATCAAGCTATATTTAATTAAGCTTAAGTACCTGAGCTCTAACAGAGCATATTTCCGAAAGTCTGGTATACCCTTTTCTTTATAGAAACGACAACACTGACAAATCAGTTGTTTAAACGTTACAAAATTCAAAATGTACTACCTAACAGAAATGACCCTGGTGATCGCAGGGACTTTTGTTTTGAAATCTCCTTAGAGTCCGAGAGCGGAAGTCATTGACGACAGCAGCGAAAGGTTCACGTTACTTGAGGAACACTAAAGAAAGGAGGAAAAGCGGGTAGCGGGATATCAACACTGAATTTATTCAGAAAAGGCGTCATATAATCTACATACGCTGGTATCTCACTATTCATCTCCCCTCTGAAGCCTCTGGCGAAGTTCATCGTGGAAGTGAGTGAAAGAAATAATAAGGCTGCTATAGCTAACGAGCTAAAGGTGTTTGTCAGGCTGTTAGCTCCATTAGTTCATATTGGTTTGCTAATCCCGTTTATAATTAACGGTAATCTTGATTGATCGATGGAGGCTGCGATCTGTATTCAGTGTTTGAACAATAACTGCGCATCACGACTCGCCCTGTGGCTCATATTAGCGACTGAAATGAATAACTCCATCTCTCTGGTCGCTATTTGGATGTTATGTGGATCGATATCTGACCAGCTTGATTGATTATCAAGAAATCAGTTAAATATATTGGTGCTATAGACAGGCTGGCAGGTGATTTGTGTAATATCGTGTTCCTCATTCCTGTTAAAGGGCTGAACATTGAACACTGAGGTTTCTGGCCCGCAGCAGGAGGAAAAGCTCATTCAATGTCGTAAGACGGGTTTATTTATTTATTTACTTTCTATTTTGGTTTACGTTTATTTTATTACAATAACGTTACATATACGGAGACAGGCGTTTAATAAGTTTTCGTTTATTATTATTACTATTTTTTTTTTAGTAGGCTTTTGTCTTCACTGAGGGACCATTATAGAGAATCCATTACACACACACACACACACACACACACACATCAGAGGTCTGAGACTCTGGGGAAAGATGCGAACTTAAAGGGCTAGTTCACCCCCCAAAAAATGTATACAATTCTATCAGTATTAGTTTTTCTGTAGAGCTTAACGCCAGAATTACAGCCTTAGTTCCTATTCACTTTTATTGCATCTTTTTATTTAATAGTTTAGTGGCTGCCAACTCCTAACATAACACATCTTTGTGTTTTTCACGGTAGAAATGAAGTCATACATGTTTTGATCAACATAATGCTAACATGGAGTAAATTGTCAGAAGTTAGTTTTTTGGGTGAGCTCTTTCTTGTTTAATCTCGCTTGAATGTCAATGGCCATGTTACCACTCATTGCATTCATTGGACATTTATTTGAGGCCTTGTTTAGGAATGTTAATTGTATTTGTTAATACAATTCAGATTCTTCAATCAGTATTATCAGATTATGATTCTTCTTTTCCCTAAATATGTATATTTAGTTTGTAAAAGATGGCGCTTGTAGCTTGACTACAGTCATTAATTGTATGCAGATTTCTAATATTTAGGGAAACAAACAAATTTTACGGCTAACTTTAATGTTTATGAGAATAGGGAATTTCACACCACGGCTATAATGATAACGGCACAGAAGAACAATATCGTTAGAATCACTTTCAGAACTATTTTTCTTCTGTCTTATGAATGATCAAATCATTGACAGAATCAGAATCCAGGCTCAATGTTCACACAAAATACGGTAACTATAATGATAACTATATTACCGATCACCAAAATAAATAATAGGCCAACTATTCTTAACAGCAATGTATTTGAGTGTCATGAATTGACAATTGTTTATTTATTGGCAAGCAACATGTGTAACATATAGAGGTGATTAGGAACAGTTTATAGATTATTAACAAATATAGCATTCCTGTGAAAAAAACAAGTCATCAACAAAGTAATCAAATGTAAAACCACTGCACTGTAAATTAAATGTAGATGAATCCTGCTAAATCTACTAAAGAGCAGTGAGTGATTTCTCTTTATCTTTTGTTGTTTGATTAACATTAACGACACAGATGGCAGCAGGAATATTAGGCTGCTGTCACTTTAAGAGCGAATGCACGGATCCAATATACTGATACACATACAACAGTGTTTAAGTGAATACTTACCAAGCAGGGCATTTTGGAATATTTCTGTGTGTTTTTAACCGTTTAGGTTAAACCGCAAACTCTATAAACGCTCAAAGTTCACTTTGCTTGTTCGTGTTTCACTCCGTCTCAGGGCATGCACACAGAAAGCCGCTTGGAGAACAGTATTTTAATGCATAATGCACTTTTAATAACTATTTTTAATAACAATAAACTGCATTTTACACAATCTGTCAATTGGAGCACCCTTAGTGGACTTCTAGAATGATTATTAAAATGTTATATTTATCATTATATCGTTAGTTATCGTGAACTGGCCTTAAAGGTTGTATCAGCGATTTCAGGCCCAAACAAACATGATCACATTCATCTAATCTTTCATTTAATCTTTTAATCTTGCCCGCTCCATAAGCAGGCCGTCAAAAAAACGCGTCTCTGTAGGCAGTCTAGGCTCTGAGATCTGCACACAAAAACAATTGGGTTCACCAACCACTCAAAACCAAAATAAACCAATCCAACCAATCACCGACATGGGTTCGTTGATAGACGCTGGCTTCTTCTTCTGCTCCGCCTTCGCGTGCAGCCGTGCACAAGAGCAAAACCTCACAACACCCGCCCCCTGTTGGTGATTGGTTGGATTGGTTTATTTTGGTTTTGAGTGGTTGGTGAACCCAATTGTTTTTTTGTGCAGATCTCAGAGGCTGCCTACAGAGACGCAGTTTTAAGACGGTGATGAGTGCCGCGTTTTACGCAAAGGTGATCATTTTTCAACTCTCGGCGACCAGTAAAAAACGCCGGGCGCTTCAGCGTGAAAAAAACGTCCAGCGCCTCGTTACGCTCATGGCGTTTAAAAAACGCAGTGCTCCCATTAAAGGTGCAGTGTGTGATTTTTAGCGACATCTAGCGGTTCGGTTGCGAGTTTGCACTAAGAGCTCCGCCCACTGCTCACCCCTTCCTTTGGAAGAAGCTACGGTGGCTCAAACGGGACATACATCGTCGTCTGAGACAGCAGAGAATAGCCAGAGTAAACCAAGTTTCTGTACCACAGTCCATTATAAACCACATCATGGATAAAGTTTACAAAGCCATAGTCAGGTGAGGATCAAGGGTCTTAATATATAATAATAGTAATCAGCTGATTGTCTCACGAACGTAACCAGCACATTTCTCCCCACATAGCAAACCCATAATACAGCGAGGGAGAAGAACCACATGAAACTATGCAACTATATATGTTTTCTAACAGGGAAGTAAAAGTTTAGCTGGCTAATATGAGCTGTTACTGTGGCTGAGCTGGTTAAAGCGTAAAGCCTTGTTTAAACTCGACGCGTCCGCATGAGCGCAATGGTGCGCGCGGCAAAAATGACGTGATTGTAACAGCGCGCGCGCCTCCGCATCCCCTAGACACACTTACTACACACACAATAGGCTTTTTTCTCTGATTTTGGAAACTCGATCGACTTAAAATGCTTCCAAGATCGACGGGTTGGTGATTCCTGTAGCACTAACTGTTTTACGGTCAATGACTAGAGTACTAATCAGCTGTCTCACGAACGTAACCAGCACATTTATCCCCACATAGCAAAGCCATAACACAGCGAGGGAGAAGAACTAAGTTACATGAAACAATCCAACTACATATTTTACACCACTGACAAGGGAAAAGTCACTACTCACGGTGTTTATGGCTAGCTTCTAGGTTTCTGCGGCTTCTCTTTCAAGGTAGTGACGAAGCGCGCTCTGTTTGTTCGCGTTCGGCTACTGTAGAAACATGACGTCACGATATGTCGACCTTCATAGAAGGGGGTTCCCGCGGTTATGTAGATATAAATGCCTCATTCTAAGGTAATAAAAACATTACAGTTTATTAAGTAAGTTCTTTATACACCACTGAACACAGTTATGGATGTCATATTGCATTTCTGTTAATAGATACTAGGGCTGTAACGATACACCAAACCCACGATTCGATTCGTATCACGATTTTTGACCCACGATTCGATTCGTATCGCGATTCTATCACGGGGGCGGGGCTTGAGGGGGCGGGGCTTGTGGTGAAAAAAAGAGATTTTGAGAGAAGAAGAAAAAATACCGGTATTTTTATTAAATAACATTAGGAAAAACCTGTATAATCTAAACACCAAATAACAATAATACCTATGCAAATTATTAAACTATACTAGGCAGTGTAGGCTGCTGCTTTTGGGTTGTGTTCTGTACTCCAACTAAATTGATTTCGGGATGGTGCCGTAGGATATGCATCTGCATGTTGGACGTGTTGCCGGTCAATTGAGGATTAATTTAATGCACTTTCTGAGAATTTATATTTCAAGTTTTGGCTGCAAATTTCACGTCCATGAAATTGCCAAATTTTAAATAATTTATCCTCAACTAGTTTTGTGGTGTAGGTCTACGTATTTTATAATGTTAACTTCAAATAATACTAATAGTAATTTAAAGATGTGGTAGGAAGGATAACTCTGGGAGTTGGAAGGGGTGTGATCGCGATTCTGCCTTCTCACATCGCGATACAGGATCGTGGACCTGAGTATCGCGATTTCGATTTTATATCGCGTATCGTTACAGCCCTAATAGATACTCAAATTTTTTACACATTGCACCTTTAAAAACAATTGAAAACATACGCCATGTGCGTGAAAAAACGCTTTGGTGGACACACGGCCTTATGTTTGGGCCTGAAATCGCTGATACAACCTTTAAAGAATTTGAAGTATCAAACGGTAATAAACAAGTTTACCGCTAATAAACGTATTGTTTTTTTATTCGCGTTTTCTTTTTTCTCATTATACTATTGTTCTTAGTGTGAACGGGCCTTAAATCAATCTATGTGTGAATAGGTTTCTGTATTGTCTGCTTTCTGTATTTGCTGATTCTGTCTCAACCACTGGTTTTGAATTTCAATATTGAAGATTTTACCCATAAAGCACAGAGTCGTACTCAGGGGTTCAGGGAAGCATTTCCTCACCGCTTGTGTCACAATAGGAATCCCTCCCTGATGCCCGGCTTCCTCCTGAGCTAATCTCTTTTCAAAAGGTTAATGATTTGAGATGAGTCTTCTAATGGATACAGCATATTGCATTAGTGCTGCATCACCGATAATCACCAATAATGATGCTGTGCTTGGGCATTAGAAATACGTCAACGTATGCATGCACACTTATGGGCTTATCTTTTGTTGAAACTCAACCACTATTGTCCATTGTTTATCTCATGGCTATGATGCAGACATGAGTAACAATAGATCTGTATGTGAATGTGATATAGGTCAGTTACAAAAGCTTCACTCTGTTTGTTTAGGCCTTTACCTTTGCTTTATTCATAAAAATATGTTTTGTTTTGTTTACTTTGAGGCTTCTTGGTAGGTCTAGTCCTGTTTTGCTGGGTTTTATGTAGCCAGGTCTGCCTTTGATTGTCTGATTGTTTGTATGAACAATAATTCTGTGTCAGACTTTAGTTTCTCAGATGTTTTTAGGTTTGTAAGTGACCCATATCTGTCATCCGTGAACAGACCTGCATGCCCACATTTATAAAAACAACATCATCATGTGCTCTGCATGCGTGCATAACAAAAAGCACTGCATTTTTGCTGGAAAGTCCCTCATGTATGTTTAGCCCAAAACCCCAAAGTAAAATTTGGTAGTTGAATGAATAAACTTTTTACGGTGTCGTGTTCTCGGGTGGAAAATTAAACCAGTCATAGGAAAGATCTTGAGCAACAAGCCGACTCTATATATTTGATTTTAGATATTGCCACAGTAGCATCCTTTTTATTTTGTTTGTCACACTTCTGACAAGTTTACTTGTCGTAGCTCATCCAAAATGCATAATCGAATAAGGAATTAGGGCTGTCTCTAATGATTATTTTTGTAATCGAGTTATCGGTCGATTGAGTCAATCGGATTTTTTTTTTGTGCTAATAAAATTAGACCTAAATGAACAATAGCCTTTAAAATGGCTTAAAATACGTATAACAACAACGAGGCAATAAGAATTGGTTCAAATAAAGTATCAAAAGCTAGCTAGTAGCCTATGTTTTTTTTTAACAACACTAATATAAACAATCAACTTGTGTACATTATGTATTATAAAAAAAAAATCAATTTTTTTTGTTTCATAATAACAGAATTTTAAAGTTGAGACTTTGCTTCATATTAAAAGTAGCAAAACTTTTTGTGATTATTGGATAGCAGGTGTGCTACAGATGTTTAGTGAAAACAGCACGACTAAGAGATTTTAGATTTAAGAAATCATATTACCGATTGAAATCGAGTAGGCTAATTAATATTGTCAATCCAGAGCTGGTGTCCACTGTCCACACAGCCGACATGTTGTGAGCACGAAATAGACACTGAACGCGGTCAAAACGTGCCATCGGAGAAGCGCTGATTAAACGTCACTGATTTCAGCCCTCCAAACCCGAAAATAGCTGTTTCGGCCAAACATTTTTCCTAATAATAGTTATTTACAAATATTGCAATTATAATGGGCACAATATATGTCAGCTTTCAAGGGCAGTAAATGCAACAAAACAGGCACTTTTCTATTCTAAGAAAAGTTAAAATTTTGCCACGAATGCATGATTAGAATGAAAATTGGCTGATATTTATCTACAGCTGACCAACCAATTATTCCACCCCTTGATGAAAGGAAACTCAAGTCTGTTATACCAGAATACCCCCTGGTAAAATATAATTTATTTAGCTGTGGCGCTATAGCAGTGCAGGAAACATTGAACTAAATAAGTACATTTTTGTCGAATTTTGGCAATCAGAGTGAAATATTTCAGCTTTTGTGTACTTGTTCTCATAAGAATACAGTGGTCATTTCATGATGTTGAACATGATTTAGTAAAATAATTACACATTTGAATTGTTTCAGAGGTGTAATGGTGTTCAAGCGATTGAATGTTTCCCCCCTCAGTGTGCTGGCAGCAGTGAACGGTTCAGCGGCAGCGGTGCCAACAGCCGTCGTCCCATGAGTTTTCTTTTGGCCTGAGCTGTCTGCTTTGGGCTCCGGCCTGGTTCGTCTGGATCTCTGTGCCTCCGGCGCCGCAGTCATGGATCACCCCAGAGAGAAGGAGGGTGAGAGGCCGGTGAGGAGCAGTAAAGTGGCCCAGGGGCGCAGCGGGCACTCGCGGCCCTCCAGCTCCGCATCCTCGGGGGTCCTCATGGTGGGACCAAACTTCAGAGTTGGCAAGAAGATCGGCTGTGGCAACTTTGGAGAGCTGAAGCTCGGTAAGGAAAGCCATTAGTGTCTTAAAGGGATAGTTCACCCAAAAATGAACATTAGCCCATGATTTACTCACCCTGAAGCCATCCTAGATGTAAATGACATTCTTCTTTCAGACGAATACAATCGGAGATGTATATAAAAAAAAATGTCCTGGATCTTCCTAGCTTTATAATGGGAGTCAATCAAAGTGCATCTATCCATGATAAAAGTGCGAAAAAAAAAAAAACCATTGACTCCCATTATAAAGCTTTGAAGAGCCAGGACATTTTTTTTATTTTTATAAATATCTCCGATTGTATTCGTTTATATGTGAACATAATTGTGAATGAGGCACACGATTGGCTGTTGTTTGCTAAGTATCTAGTCGTAGCATGCTAACGGCGCATCATTTCTAGTACAAACCTTAGTATATCACATCGAATGAATTATCTAAATACTCTCCTCAAATAAATTGTGTCTGAAAGGAAAACTCCTACAAATGCATATTATGCAACAAGGTCGTCCGCAAAAAATAACCCTCTCCATGGTTTTTCAGTGCTAATTTTTCACTGTGTGTCTAAAAAGCTGTTAATAAATCTGTCCCATCATATATATATATACTGCCTACTGGTTGACCAGTCAGTTTTAGAGGGCCAATGGCATTGGCTATTATGTAAGGCAAAAGAATTGCTGACAATTTGTAAACCCTTCAAAGAAAGCACTTGGAATGCTACTTGCTAGAAGGACCTTGTGAAGTAATCCCAGAAGGTGCTCTTTAGTTGGGTTTCAAACATATACTTTTAGAAAAAAAACTACTTTCAGTCCAAGAAGCTACAAAGCCTTTATTCACATGTCGACACACACTCCGAGGAAGGCTGAAGGCCGAAATGCATCAGTGTGCGGAGTTTCTATTGTAATAGCCGTGATGTAAATAAAGTATTTTTAGCTTTTTTGGACTGGAAGAAGTGCCTTGGATTTCTAAAAGAATTTGGGAACCCGCTTTAAATTCTCTTATATAATTTATGACAAAATTGGTCGATTTTGGAACTGACACAAAACAGAACTACTACTTTTGTTGGTCGACAAATAATCTCATAATTGTACATCTAGCTGTTGCTGTTGTCCTAATGGGACCCGAGTTCAAAACCGACCTGGGTCATGTCCCATACCAGCCCTACCCCTCTCTCTATACCTTCACTTTCCTGTCAAAATCTCCATTAGATTTTACATCTAATAAAGGCAGAATTCCAATGATTAAAATATTATTATTGGCCGAAAAGTCCAAACTGTTGCATCCATGTGTTCAGTTTCAGTTGGTCACTCTTTGTTTTTGTTTTTGTAGGAAAGAATCTCTATACCAATGAGTACGTTGCAATAAAGTTGGTAAGTACATTTATATTTATTATTTTATACCAATCGATTATATCAGGTGATGCAGACATGGAATAAAAAGCTTGGATTGTTATGAAGTCGTGGAAGTCACGTTATAAGCAAGAAAACATAATGTATTTTAGACAGACATTTTAGGAACCTGAAACTAAAAAAATATATGAAGTGACAACTTGATTGTGTTCCTCAGACGTACGGGAATAAAAGTGTTTTGCTGGTTGAAGTGTTTGTTGTATATTGTGAATAGGGCTGGGTTTTAGTGATTCGGATTCTGCTTATCGATTCCTATTCTTATTGATTCCCAGTTTTGATTCAAATAAGTAAAAAAAAAAACATTTAGATTCAACCAAATTTATTCTGTCTTTTTGCCAAAAATTTGGTTGCAGCTAAACACCATGTACTATTTATTTACTGTATTACTAGGGGTGCGCCGTTTGATCGTCTACTAGGGGTGGAACGGTACACAGAAGTCACGGTTCGGTACGATTTTGGTGCAGTTGAGGGAAAAGCAAAACAAAAATGCGGAAGGCATTGTATTTTTTAAATACGTTTTATTAATAAAGGCATAGAACCAGTTTATTTGTAGTGCACTGACAATAGTTTTATATAATTAGTTTATTAATTAAATTAATAAAAAAACAAAAAGACCGATATGTGCGATATGTTTGGTAATTGTACCTGAATTAATTTAAAATTAATTTGTTATATTTCAGATCAATATAGGCTATTTGTTTTCCTTAATTTTAATTAACATTATTAATTAACAATGTAACATTATTCTCATCTGAATTATAAATAATTGATTTCTGTATAAAATAATACTACCATTAAAAACACATTCGATTTTCTTTTTTAATCAATGTAGAATGTGTAAGATTAGCGCTCCGAGGACAAGAAATGAAAACCAATGCAATATGATGAATGTCCAAAAGACGGGACCCACAGACTGTTTTGAAATGGAGTTGGATAAATATGTTTTGCTTTTAAAACAGTGTGTGTGTGTGAGAGTGATTTTGGTTGGGTGACAGTCGTAGGTTACAGTTTGACAAGAGTTTACAGTGTGACAAAAGCACAATGTTGTGTTTTATTGCGAGTGTACACAAATATAAGTAAACACTTTGCAGGTTTAATGATCTGTATGAACAAAATGACGGAGTATGTTTTTTTATGTTTCCACTGTTCGATCGCGCCCGCGCCCCTCTCTCTCTCTCACACACACACACACACACACACACACACACACACACACACACACACACACACACACACACACACACACACACACACACACACTCCAGCATTGCAATCTTGACATCACAGCCTGTTCATTATATGCGGTCACACCAAACGTGAATAGGCCGTCAAATTCGCGTCTATGGCGTCTAGTTCGACGCTAGTCCAAAGCGAATAGGACGCGCGTATAAAGCCAACGTTTGAAGTGAACGCGCGTTCAGAGATAAGCCGATGGTACAGATTATGTGTCCCTAAAGAACCCGCGTATCTAACAGTAGTTCTGCATTACATTAATTAATTTGCACGCGAGTTTTATTTATTTTTATACCGTGTATTCTCCGTGTAAATTCGTGCACCGAACCGTGACGCCCGTACCGCTTCGGTTCAATACGAATACATGAACCGTTCCACCCCTATCGTCTACTAATCGCTATCACCCGATAATCGCTTTAGGAAGTTTAATCGGTGGTCTCTTTAAAGGCCGATCTCATGCTTACGACACATAAAGACACGCGCCGTCCGTGAGACATGCAGCGGCACCGTCTCAATCTCTTTCCATCGCTGTTCATATTTCTTTATTAAATAACTTGCAAAGTAATTTCCCAAACGGAGTGAGTGAATCACTGTGCGCTCTCTCTTTCCCTCCCAAAATGTGCAAATGGCTTCACATCGCATCTGCACTATAAGTGAGCTGCACAGTTGACACAGGAATTGTCAATTGCACAATCGAGGCAGTGTCGCATCGTCACTAAAGTTTATAATTTGCATTATTATATTATAAGTCTTTCCAGTGTTTAAACCACTCAGCACGTAAGCAATCTCCTGGAGATGGAGCGCTCATGCGCACTCAAAGCGCACACACTTAAGCCTGTTGAAAATAATAATCTAATATATTTCAATATTTTTATTATAACATATATTGTACTACAATATAATATTATGATTATATATATATATATATATATATTTTTTTTTTTACAATTAAAGGTGCTCTATGTAACTTTTAGAGGCCTCTAGTGGTGATGTTTCAGATTGCAACCAAATTTTACAAGAGCGCTCGTGCTCGAACTCATAGATAAAACCGTCTATTACGCAAATATCTCGGCGAATACTTGACGGATTCGGCGAGCACCGAGCTCGTTGGGACCATCTAGTCAAGCTGAAAAGAACCATATAAGTTCCATAGTTTTTGGTGGTGTTTTCGCGGAGATATTAGCAGAAAACCATCGGGCGCGCTGCAAAATTGCGGACGCCGGTGACGTCACGATCTCAGAAGAAAATCGCTCGTATCTCTGGAACGCAAAGACCCAGAGAGCTCAAATTCGGGGGAGGAGGTCCCAGGGGAACCCTTGCCCGAACGCTAGAGTGGCGGGCCTCGGGGATGCCCCCTACCGGATCGCCGTTCGCTGGGACCCCCGATTTCGAACGGCTATAACTCGGAGAGCCGGGCGAGTTGGACCTCGGGGGTGGGCTCGTTCGAAAGGCCCCTTCCAGCACTACGAACGATTAGAGTCTTGGGAATATTGATCAAAGATTGACTGAGATATAAGCCGAAAAACGTGCGTCTTTAACCGGACGTAACTCCCTGACCGTCTACAATAGACTGTATATAAGGAGCGAGGCTCGGGAGCGCGCATGCACGTCACATCCGTTGGATTTCGCGGTAAATCCGACCCGGAGACTTCACATAGAAATAGGAATACTGGCCTTCAGAGGTAATGGCAAAACTCGACAAGTGGATCATTTTAATGGGTGATTACAACCCCTTCACACACAGGCAATAAAAAAAGGATTCATTTTAGTAGAAAAGTTACATAGAGCACCTTTAATTATAAATATCTAAAATCTAGATTAATCCTTTCTTATTAAAGTTACAAAAGTTAATCAGTCAAGATCAGTAAGCGACTTTCTCTAACATTAATGACACAGACGGCGGTGGGAATATTAGGCTGCTGTCACTTTAAGGCACATGCATTTTCTTTCTCAACTGTTTACGTTCACTTAAGACATAAACAACTGTGTTTACAGGGATATTTTGGGATAATTTTGTGTGTATTTGTCCGTTCAAGTGCAAGAAGACATTAAAGAGCTCAATTCAGTATTCGCACGCTATATGAGAGGCGGCTTTCTGAGCTCGAGCTAAAAAGCGAATAAAATGCTCACGCCGAATCAAAATGTTAATTTTATAACAAGTATCCGATTCCTGACCTCAAATATCAGATTCCAGAGTCGCAATCAATTTCTGAATCCCAACCCTAATTTTGAATGAACTTCAATGTAAACAAATAAAAGGTTTTTAATTGAAATTTTTTTTTTGTCTGACACTCCTAAAGGAACCTGTGAAATCGAGGGCCCCACAGCTTCATTTGGAGTACCGGTTCTACAAAACATTAGGCAGTTCTGGTAAGATTATAATCATCACCAGCACTGCTGTACCCTGTGTTTCTCTCTTTTATTTCCCTGGATAATATTCATTTCATGCATTTTCATCTGCTGTTTTATATATATTTTTACCTTCAGTCAGTGTGTTTGCTCATTGTATCTCATCTACATTTATCCTTAATCTTCATATGCAGGTGCATGACTTTGTTTGTACTGCACTCAGGCTTTGTGACCGGGATTTACTGTTATTTTTCTTGCTTTGAAGCCAGCATTTCCCGAGCAGGCTTTCTGAGGATGTTTCCTTTGTATTGGATTGAGGATTTTTCCCCTCTGGAGTATCTGACATGTTGAGTCATAGCTTCAGTTTTGATCTTACAGAACGGTTAGTTTTGAGAACAGCAATGATCAGATTATGTTAAAATATATTTAGTGCTTTTAACAAAGACATTCTTCAGCGGTTTTCCCTTGTATATTTGTCTCAGTGAAGTGCCGCCTCTTTCTAAAATGTCAAACCCATTGTGATTTTGTTCCCTATAATTGTCATGGCTTTTGTAAGCTATTTGACCTCATTGTTTTGCTGCTGCTTTTTCCCCCCCAACTTTTTTCAAGTAGGTGTGAGTGCGAGGCGCAAATGGATAAGATATGCTGACTAATCTTTGGGGGATTCAACATTAGTTGAGTTTCCATCCATGTCTCTTTTATATGTAAATTTATTGCATGAAAAAATGCTGGATAGAACAGAGGCCAATACATTTTCTAAAACACACACAAAATCTTTATTAATGTTAGTTGATAAAAATACAGTCGTTCATTCATGTTAGTTCTCAGTGCATTGTGCACTAAACATAAACATGTATTAGTAAATGTTGAAATTAAAATGAACTAAGATTAATAAATGCTTTAGAAGTATCGTTCATTCTTAGTGCATGTTAACTAAATTAAGTCGCATTTACATTGCGTGGTTCAAGTGACCCAATTCCGAATTTATTTTTTCTTTCATGTGGCACAGATCAGATATGACCCATGAACATGTAAGCAGGAAAAAAGCACATGATTCCGATATTCTCTCATTGGTTTCAGACCAATCGGATATTCCCATCAATGCGAACAGTACCGTACGTCATTGAAAAAGTGACCGTGGCGAATGTATTGTATTCTTGACCTCTAATTTTGATGTTTTCATGCTGTTAATCTCACTCTCTGGTAGCTTTTTTATCAAGACACCATATTGAGGCAAGACTAGTGGTAAAACATTCGCGGCTGCTGGGCTTGATCACTTCACATTGCACTTTGATTCGGGAAGTGGCGGCTCGAGCATCACACGGTGTTGCCCTGGTGACAATGCAAATGATATGTTCTGTGTCTGGATGATGACAGTGGCCTTAGACTCTCTTAAAGGTGCATTGCGCAACTTTTCATGTTAAAAATACCCGTTTTTCCTATCCTATACATGCTTAAAGAACTGCCTGATGGGCTGAATGAGCCCTTCTCTGCACACTGAGATTGCCTCTATAATCCTGTACAGTAAAATATATAAGAGGGATTCGGGCTCGAATTTGAGACTGGGCGTGACGTCATGCGCGTTCACGCTCACCAACCTCTCGCAGGTTTGTGTATTCGCCGGCGCCGCCATTCTCCGCATCAGCGAAGACAACTCGTGCGTCAAAGGTAGAAGATGGATTCAAAGAGTCCATTCCAAACCCCAACGCAAACTCCACGTAAAGTAAAGAAAAGAAAAATGTTGTCTAGTGCCACCAAAAGGTCCAAATTGGAGTCAGACAGGCGTCGGAGTAAGACGAGAGTCAACCTCGGGAAGGCATTCAACAAATGGAGAGATCTCCGGTCTGCTCTTGGTCTCAAACGGGATCCTCAGTTGGCTTTTTTTCTTGATAAAACAGTAAGATATAGCCCAGTCTCTAATGTTTGATACGGCCAATTAGGGCTGCTCGATTTGGGGAAAATGTCATATTGCGATTAATGAGGTCAATATTGCGATTGCGATATGCGATTGCGATATAATAAACAAATGGTTTCATGAGTCAACTTGCTTGGTTCTAAAGTAAAATGCACACACAGATTAGTGATCATTCTGTGTATTAATGTGTATTTCTCAACTCAAACTAAAGCAACAACAACTAAATGATTGATAACACCTATAATGATCAATAAACCATTGATGTCTGGATAAAAATGACGACACCCCCCACATTTTAAACGTTAATTATAGCCATCCAACATTACAGTGATTCCATCAATACAATTGAAAGCTATCAACTTTTAAAATATTTATTAGGCTTAAAAAATAATAATAACAGCTTTTAAATTAAGTGAACTTCAAACAATCCTCACATAAACCCATAATAAATGCCATATTTACCTGTGCCCTTCCTCTCTTAACAGGTAGGATGGAGGATTTATATACAGAAATTGAATAAAGTTATCAAACAGTCTGCGCTGCATGAATTATAAATTATATATAGACTAATCCTTATTAAAGCTACAAAACTTCTTTAGTCAAGAGCAGTGAGTAATTTTCTGTTCCCTTTGTTATTTGATTAACTTTACTGACAGAACGCTTTATTCGCTGCTGGCCCTTTAAGAGCAGCCGTCTCACACGCGCCTCATTCTCTCACAAGCACAACTCTTTCGTCCATCATAAGACTGCTCTTATGTTATGAAGATAATCGACAAAACGACATTTTGGCATAATTGTGTGTGTTATTGTTCGTTCAAGCTCGAAAGAGAACTGTATTCTGGCACGCGGTCTGTGCACGCGCATTATACGGGCGCGCGTTTTTCTGTGAGTCACTTCAGGACATTCACAGGCAGCGCGCTCTCTTTTGTCTTCTTGTCGTGCACAATTGTTTTAAGGCATTTGCACGAATAAGAGCGGGATCATGTAACACTAGTCAAAGGATGACAAAAAAGAAGAGATGCTGTGTTCATATAAAATCGCGCCATTTTGCGTTATATAATCGCATAGGTTTGACATCGCGATTACGATTGCGATTCGATTAATCGTGCAGCACTACGGCCAATCTATGTATGTCAACAGATGACGATGCGTAAATTGTGTAATGCTTTAGCGTAAGCGAGATACATGTACAATCAGATTTGGTTGCAGTTTCGCTTGTCGCCAGAGGGGGCGTAGTTCTGTTGCGTTTTGCACCTTTAAGATTCACACACAGTCATTCCTTAGTCAACATCTTCATACTCGATTTATTAGCACGATTTATATATCCTCAGCTGTGTCAGCAAGAAGGTGCCTTGTCATGTGTACCCAGTTTCTTGTGTTTGCATTTAATAGCTAGATCATCTGAAGGGGGAGTTCAGCATTAGCTGCTGCATAGATTTGGGTGTCATCATTTCTCCGGGGTTATGCTAACAAGCACATTTTCTTTTGATATATTCCAGTGCTTTTTGGGCCATGCTGCATATAGTCCTCAAATACTGGTCTCAATATTTTTGAGGAAAGCACTGTACTTTTTTTTGTTTGTTTTTTGGGGGTGAATTAGGGCTGGGCGATAAAACGATAACGATATGTATCGCGATAGACACGTGATCGATATCAATAAAAAATGTGTTCGATAAAACGTTCGATATTTTTTTTCTTCGTCGGAAGAAACCACAGGTTGCGAAGCAAGTTTGGTTGCATTATCAAAGGCACGCGCTCTCTGGTAACCTAGCAACGTAGGGAGTGACACGCTCAGGCAATCATGTAACGTGTCAGTTTTGTTGCGCCATATCGTTGTCTCGTGCTGCTGGGTTCCTCTTCAGTAACCGGCGATTGATAAGCAGAAAATGAGTGCCCTTCATCTGCATGCCATGCAGGCTAGAATTGCGAAACATTATTGGATAATTCGCTCTATTCGCGTTTGATGTGAACACAGCATAATGAACAGGCTGCGATGTCAAGATTTCAATGCTGGAGTGTGTGTGTGTGTGTGTGTGTGTGTGTGTGTGTCCGACTCCGCGCGCGCGCGAGAGAGAGAGAGAGAGAGAGAGAGAGAGAGAGACACGCGGGCGCGATCGAACAGTGGAGACATAAAAACATACTCCGTCATTTTGTTAATACAGGACATCAGTCAGTCTGCAAAGTGTTTACTTATATTTGTGTAGGCCTATACTCGCAATAAAACACAACATTGTGCTTTTGTCACACTGTATTTCTTGTCAAACTGTAACCTACAACTGTCACACACCGTTTTAAAAGCAAAACATATTCATCCAACCCTTTTTAAAACAGTCTGTGTGTTCCATCTTTTGGACATTCATCATATCGCATTGGTTTTCATTTCTTGTCCTCAAAACAGAGCACTAATCTGTTTATTTTTAAGTTACACATTGATTAAAAAAGAAAGTGAAATATGTTGGTAGATTATTTTATACGGAAATCAATTATTTATAATTCTGATGAGAATAAAGTTAGGGTTAATTAAAATTAAGGAAAACAAATATATTGATCTGAAATATAGCAAATTAAATTCATTCAGGTACAATTACCAAACATATCTCATATCTATCTTTTTATTAGTTTAATTAATAAACCAATTATATAAAACTATTATCAGTGCACTATAAATAAACTGGTTCTATGCCTTTATTAATAAAACTTATTTAAAAAATACAAGGCTTAAGACATTTATAAAAATGCCTAATATATTTCTGTTTTGCTTTTTACTCCATTGTACCGAAATCGTACCGAACCGTGATGTCTCAAAAAAGAAATCAAGCAGGGGGCACGTACGATCACAACCCCCCACCACCCACGTCCCGCCGCGCCACTGTCACCTTTTTTACTCTGAGGAGTTTGCAGGTCTGATTGTGAATAGACTTATGTTTACATTCTAATTATTTGAGTTTTCCATGGTTGTGTTGACATTTCTGTCTTGGGATTGTAATCAGAGGAAGGGTAAGTTTAAAATAAAAATGTTTAAATGTAATATATTTTTTCTCCTGGTCCTTATTTTAAATGGGTCATAAAAAAATCAATAATTATCGATATCGACCGATATGAAACACTGATATCGTGATACAGTTTTCAGCCATATCGCCCAGCCCTAGGGTGAATAGAAGATTTAAATAAACAGCATTAGCATCAGAAATATTTCTTGAACAGCATATCAGCATATAAGGAGGATTTCTGAAGTAATATAAACAATTGCAATATGAAAAGAAAATCCCCAGATGACTTGTATAGCTCTATTTGGAAAGAATGAATAATTCTAAAATGATTGGGATGATTTTGTAGGGGAGTGAATCTGCATAGAAAATTACAAGCATAGATCAAGACAATAGAACAAAGATACAAATAAAATAAACAGTAGTATTCAGGTACAGGAATTGAATAATCAAATGTAAAATTGCATTGCATAGTGTTTTTTTAAAGCTACAAAATTAAATTTCTCTTTTTTTATTTTGTTGTTTAATTAACATTGACATAGACAGCAGCAGGAATATTAGGTTGCTGTCACTTTAAGACCGAATGCACAGATCCATGATGATACGCATGCGCTTTCTTGCGATTTGAACCATGGTGCCTGGTCCGTACAGATCAACCATAATCCTATACTTGACGGCACACATCATGATATCGATGTTAAAACAATATATCGTGCAGCCCTATTCTGAAGGATCATGTAACACTGAAGACTGGATGCTTGAAAATTCAGCTGTGCATCACAAGAATAAATTACATTTTAATATACACTACCGTTCAAAAGTTTGGGGTCGGTACGATTTTAAATACTTTTAAAAGAATTCTCTTCTGCTAACCATGGCTGCGCTTATTTGATTAAAAATACAACAAAAATCAGTTATAGTATTAAATATTATTCCAGTGTAAATCAGCTGTTTTCTGTGTGAATATATAGTGAAGTGTAATTTATTCCTGTGATCAAAGCTGAATTTTCAGCATCACCAGTGTCAGTGTCTTCAGTGTCAAATGATCCTTCACAAATCAGTATAATATGAGGATTTGATGCTCAAGAAACATTTATTATTATTATCAATGTTGAAACAGTTGTTGGTCTGTCAGTTGTACAGTTTTTTTTTTTTTTTTTTTTGGATTCTTTGATGAATAGGAAGTTCAAAAGACTTTTGTAACATTATAAATGTCTTTACTGTCACTTTCGAACAAATTAATTATTCCTTGATAAATAAAAGTATTGATTTCTTTCCTCCAAAAAATAAAAATAAAATTCTGACCCCAAACTTTTGAACGGTAGTGTATATTCAAATAGAAAACAGTTATTTTTAAATTGTAATAATATTTCACAATATAACAGTTTTTACTGTATTTTGACTGAATAAATGCAGCCTGGGTGAGCATAAGGGAAAAAAATAAACTTAATTATTCCAAACACTTGACCGGTAGTGGAAAAATGCTAATCACTGATTTGATGATATTCTTATGTTGGCTAGAATTTTGACATTGCATTAGGGCTGTAGCGATACACTAATCTCACGATACGATACGATACACGATATTCAGCTCACGATACGATATATATCACGATATTCAGCCAACGATACGATTCGATATAATTCGATACACTTACATCATTTTCTGAAAGATTTAAAGGGGACAGAGTGATTTTGGTGACATCTTGTGAGTGTTCAATTGGATTGAATTAATTGAACTGAAAACTAAAAACATCAATTACACAATATATGTCTGACTGGACAGAGTCTCTACAGCTTGCAAATGCTGGACAAAATAAACCAAAGATGTGTTGAGAAAATTAGTTCCATTTATTGAAACAGTGCAAACTGTAGCTTACAAGCCTTTGAAAAGTAAATAAAGTGCAGTATTGCTATTAACAATGCAGAGTTAAAAAGTGCAAATAAACTTTTGAGAAAAAAGGTTTTATAAAAAGATAAACCTCAAATATTTCAGCCTTTAAATCATTTTTATAAAAGAATGAGTCAAAAAAGATAAATTACTGACATTTACAATGCACATTAGCTTATCTTTTATTATTAATAGTAAAATTCGGTCCGATTTTCCCGTGGCGTCTGTCGTTGCTAAGCAACCATGCACTGCGCTCTCCACAACGACAAAGAAGTTTTAGTAGCTAATAAGATTTCCACCACCGAAAAACGCTTGCTGTAGCTCTGCTAAGTTACAAGGTTTATTTACGGAGAAGAGAAAAACACCCGTAGTGTTTGGATGCACCCCCATCCTTCATGTTGACCGAGCTTTCAATGTTGTTACGGAAAGGGTGAAGCTGAAGGTTGGTTTTTGTCACATGAACTGCGGTGCGCTTGCAGCGTTCTGAAAAGTTGAGGCGTTTTCATCTCGCTGCGCCTGGGAAAAATGAGCGCGTCGCTTCAATTATGAGCGCGCTTGCCGCGCGCCTACATTTGAAATAACGAACTTGAGTGCACAAAAGACACGATATGTGAACGGCCACTTGACGGGCTAAGTTAAACACGGGGGATTTGAATGGGACTTATGTATCGATACTCGCGCCTTAAAAATCGATACTTTCTTGGGGGAAAAAATATAGATTTATATCGCAGAATCGATAAAATTGCTCAGCCTTACATTGCATAATTACATTTCTTCTAGCAGACTAAAAAGCTTTGCAGTGACATGATTAAATACTGTGGAGACTGCAAATTAGTATCATGGCAAATGCTTCTTACAGTCAACTGAACTGAAAAAAAGCCTAATTTGGCAGCCATTACAACTGATTACATTATTGTCTGTGTAGAGAACTGTATTACAGTGAGCTCCACTATCACCTCCACCATGTCCTAAGCCAATACATGTCCTAAATGATGTTACGTTAGTAGCATAGTAACATATCTGTGTTTTTACTGATCAAGCGGATGTGTTTGTAATGATATGTGTAGTTATGTAGTTCAGGGGCATGTTGGGCCAGAAAAGAGAGGAAAAGGGTGGCAACAGCAGCTGATCAATAATTCAGCACACGGCACAGCTAGCATCTATACGAGCTTCTCAGTAAGCCTATATCTCTGCTGGTTTATGCAGGGATGTGTGTGCAAATATTTTTTGCCGTGTACACATTTTCTTTCTGTGCTGTATCTGGGACAGAAGAATGCAGACCGTGCTTCTCCGTCCGCACATGTCCTCCTGCAGGGTTTGTGTCTCAGTGATGAATCAGCACTTCAGGAAAGGTGGCACTCTGACCACAAGCGTTTCCAGGATGTTCACTTAGCTCTGTTATCGTATGACGTCTGAAAAGCAGTCGGCTGATTAAAATGCCTGGCAGCCGAGCTTATGTAACTCTACACCGGTGCATTGCTCAGCTCCTTGAGCACCTCGCTGGAGTAATACCGAATCAGCAGGGTCCCACATAAACTCTGATGTCCTAACCCCTCACCGATGCTGCTGGGATGCAGTAGCAGACTTTGCTTTATAGAGAGCTTTTAAAGTGCCCCTATAATCCATTCAAGGTCAAAAACACTCTCATTTGAGTGGATCCAGTCTCTAAACCCCTCCTTTCTGAGAGCCTACTTTGCTCTGATTGGTCAAATGGTCAGTCTGTTGTGATTGGTCTACTTTGCTCTGATTGGTCAAATGGTCAGTCTGTTGTGATTGGTCTACTCTGCTCTGATTGGTCAGATGGCCCAGTCTGTTGTGATTGGTCTACTCTGCTCTGATTGGTCAGATGGCCCAGTCTGTTGTGATTGGTCTACTCTGCTCGATTGGTCAGATTGCCCAGTCTGTTGTGATTGGTCCACTCTGCTCTGATTGGTCAGATGGCCCAGTCTGTTGTGATTGGTCTACTCTGCTCTGATTGGTCAGATGGCCCAGTCTGTTGTGATTGGTCTACTCTGCTCGATTGGTCAGATGGCCCAGTCTGTTGTGATTGGTCTACTCTGCTCGATTGGTCAGATGGCCCAGTCTGTTGTGATTGGTCTACTCTGCTCGATTGGTCAGATGGCCCAGTCTGTTGTGATTGGTCTACTCTGCTCTGATTGGTCAGATGGCCCAGTCTGTTGTGATTGGTCTACTCTGCTCTGATTGGTCAGATGGCCCAGTCTGTTGTGATTGGTCTACTCTGCTCTGATTGGTCAGATGGCCCAGTCTGTTGTGATTGGTCTACTCTGCTCGATTGGTCAGATTGCCCAGTCTGTTGTGATTGGTCCACTCTGCTCTGATTGGTCAGATGGCCCAGTCTGTTGTGATTGGTCTACTCTGCTCTGATTGGTCAGATGGCCCAGTCTGTTGTGATTGGTCCACTCTGCTCTGATTGGTCAGATGGCCCAGTCTGTTGTGATTGGTCTACTCTGCTCTGATTGGTCAGATGGCCCAGTCTGTTGTGATTGGTCTGCTCTGCTCTGATTGGTCAGATGGCCCAGTCTGTTGTGATTGGTCTGCTCTGCTCTGATTGGTCAGATGGCCCAGTCTGTTGTGATTGGTCTGCTCTGATTGGTCAGATGGCCCAGTCTGTTGTGATTGGTCTGCTCTGCTCTGATTGGTCAGATGGCCCAGTCTGTTGTGATTGGTCTACTCTGCTCTGATTGGTCAGATGGCCCAGTCTGTTGTGATTGGTCTACTCTGCTCTGATTGGTCAGATGGCCCAGTCTGTTGTGATTGGTCCACTCTGCTCTGATTGGTCAGAATGTCAGTCTGTTGTGATTGGTCTACTCTGCTCTGATTGGTCAGAATGTCAGTCTGTTGTGATTGGTCTACTCTGCTCTGATTGGTCAGAATGTCAGTCTGTTGTGATTGGTCTACTCTGCTCTGATCGGTCAGATGGCCCAGTCTGTTGTGATTGGTCTACTCTGATTGGTCAGAATGTCAGTCTGTTGTGATTGGTCTACTCTGCTCTGATCGGTCAGATGGCCCAGTCTGTGTTGTGATTGTTTGACCGCTTACAGCACATTTCAGAAACTAATCGCCCATTAACATCTGAAGTTCAGCTGCGGATCTTCCTCATCACTTGATACACAGTGAAATGAACCATAACGATGGCGTCGGTTGGACTGTATCAATTTGAGCACGAGTCCTCATCCTTTGGAAGCGCATGCAAAATGGATTTACTTTCGCAGCGCAGAAAACGAGCAAACCAAATTCTTGTGTTTTAAGACTACAGTGTTTTAAGGTGGGTCAAAGTAGACGTTGTTCACAGTCAGCCAATGAAGACCATAGGTAGGCATTATGTAAATGAGTTACAAACCTATGTAGGTTCGAACAGGAAGAAAGAATGGAATTACTGACGCCTTGTTTCAGGCAGTTCAGAATTGCTTCTTTCATTAGCGAGACATTAACTTTATTTATCGTGCACTTTGAACTTTGAAACTTTGTAGATCTATTACTCTCACAATCAGCTTTATCACACACTACATGAAAGGGAATATATTATAATTTAATAGTTAAAGGGTTAGTTCACCCAAAAATGAAAATTATGTCATTAATGACTCACCCTCATGTCGTCCCAAGCCCGTCAGACCTCCGTTCGTCTTCAGAACACAGTTTAAGATATTTTAGATTTAGTCCGAGAGTTTTCTGTCCCTCCATTGAAAATGTATGTACGACGGTATACTGTCCTTGTCCAGAAAGGAAATAAAGACATCATCAAAGTAGTCCATGTGACATCAGTGGGTTAGTTAGAGTGTTTTGAAGCATCGAAAATACATTTTGGTCCAAAAATGACAAAAACTACAACTTTATTCAGTATTGTATACGGGCTTGGAATGACATGAGGGTGAGGCATTAATGACATAATTTTCATTTTTGGGTGAACTAACCCTTTAAGCACATTTAATCTACAGTTCAGGCTATTATGTCCATTTTTTGGGGAGCATGTTTGTTTGCTAGACCCCGAAAAGAAAGGACCAAAGGAAGTGAGGCACTGGGTGTTCAGGTGAATGAGATGCTATTGTGACTGTAGCATGAAATCCTGAGGATGTGCTTCCCCTCACATCCTGAACTGTGCAACCCGAGCCCAGAGGTCTACCCTCCCCCAGGCACGACTGCAAGCTCTTACATGCCGTCAGGCACATCGTGGCTCCTGGGAGAGATTCTTCATATTCCAGGACTCTTGTAATTAAACAACAAAAAGGCATACACCTAGTTTCCAGAGTAATTCCCAGTGCGACAGAGGAGTGCTTGTATTTTGACCTTCGCACCTTTTCAAATAATGAGAATCAGGACTGCAATGACTAATTGATAAAAGTCCGTAATGAAAATAGTTGACAAGTTTCATTATCGATTAGTCCAGTCTTTATGCTGTGCACGCTGAACCTCCGTCAGTGAGAATGCATTTAAAAATATAAATTGAACTTTTGCTTAGAAAATGTATCGAAATTAATAAAATCTTTGTTTTAGACATTTCCATGTCATTATAAATATTTTGTTCTGCTACGCTCAAAAGTGCATTTGACTTTAAAGTTATTATTATAGCTGTATGGCTGTGTAATATACATTATACACGCGTGTGTGTTGGCAATTAAAAACTTAAATTGTAAATTGTTTGTTGAAAATGCTTATTTAGATTTATCAGCCAATATATCGGTTATCGGCTTTCAATTATCTGTATCGGTCATTATTTTTATATCAATGCATCTCTAGTATTTATTTATTTATTATCATTAGCCTGATGGTGTCTTTAGCCAAAATCCTTTTTGTGACTCTATAAAATGATTAGCAGTCCTTATCCATCCATCCATTTATCCACGAACGACTGCAGTCTTTTATTACTCAAGGTGTGTGAAACCGGAGTTTAATATGGCCGATTAGCATTTATCTGTGATTGTATGATCCTTTTATGCTTTCAGTACAAATTAATGATCAGCTCGATTTGAAAAAGCATCATGATGTCCCGGTGAATCAAATCCCCCCCCCCTACTATAGTATAAAGAGCATCTCCCAGGCGTAGCAGGTGCTGTGTGTGTGTCTGCCTCCTGCTGAGCGCTCAGCTCATGCTTTATGGATGGATGGGGTGATGAAGGGGTGGAGAGTCTCATCCTCCTCTTTGTGATTCTCACCTTCCTCCTGCACAGCATGTTTGGATGGTTGAGTCTGGCTTTAACGTTTGGTTCATGGTGGTGGGTTATGAGATGATATTAGTGCATTATTTAAGGCAGACTGATTCAGTCTCTATTTGTTCTTCTCTGTAGTGGTTTTACTGTTGTTAGGAATCCTCATAATGCACGAACACAGCCGTGTATATGCAATAATGAAGTCTATTTACATAACAGGGTTTGTCAGTTGCCTTGATATCTTCCCTGGAGATTCAGATCGTTCTTTGAGTTTAAACCCAGGCATGCCTGTCTTCAGGAGCACATTGTACCAGATAAATGAGATGCGGTTCATTCCTTGTTAGTCAGAATTCTTAAAACCTTTGCTTTGTTTACCTTTTTAGATGATATTTGGTTCAAAAACCAAATGTTCTTTTGAATTAATTCTTTAAATTTATGTTTCAGGGCTGTTGAATGTTTTATTCTTTTTGGTTGACAAACATTCTAAAGCCGCTTTTCCACCGTTGGACCGAATGGTTCGTTATATTTCCACTTTAGACTGGTACGGCACGGCAGGATTACAAACCATTTTCGGCCCAGAATTCTCAGCACGGTTGGCTAACCATTATTTTCTGGTAAAGGCACAGCTAAAGTAGTTCCAGGCAGGTCTTGACCACAGTACAGTTTCATATCACTTCTGCAAATAATTTCACTTATTTTAAAGGTCCTTGCAGCCTACAACAGCAAAATAACCCACAAAGACAATGACCAAGCAAATGGATAAAACAAACAATATGATAAAAATGGCAAACTGTTCACTAAATTACATTTATCTATTGAAAGCACGCTCTCTCTCTCATACAAAAGTACACAGACACACAGAGAAACATAGAAACATGCACAGACTCAAACTTAACACTGCCCCGCAACTTTATTAGTAAAATAGTTTTGCAACTGAAAAGCTACATATCATTTCTCAGTTGTGAGGTAGTAACGTCACTGTTCTTGAAGCAGTTAAACTTACTGTTTTGCTAATAGTAGAAAGGCTCCTGTTGAACGCCGTTGAGAGATGCACGGACTCAGGTAATTCACACATGCTTAATCCCTCTCTCGCTGTAATAACTGCACTAGTCTGTATCTCTCTTATATAACCGCTTAAGTCTGCATATCAGTGGCTCAAGCCTCTGTTACAAGCTCTAAAATTATGTTTTGGAATTAGCAACAGACGTTCGGGATGAAATGCATAAATTAGTCCTACACACACGAGAGTTTTAATGAGAAAAATCTGACAACTGACTCAACTCTCAGGCTTACTGAAAACAAGTAAACAGTCAGTGATAAAATGAGAACAAAGCAGCTAATTGCAAGCAATAGGACAAAGTATACAATAGAACAGACACAAATGAAATGCCTGAAAAACTTCAAGCACTAGAAATACATAAATTGTATAAAGTAATGAAATGTTCAAAAACAACTCCATAGTCTTTACTGTGTACATTTAAATATGCATTTATTCTTAAAATTACAAGTTATTCAGTCAAGAGCAGTCAGTGATTTTCTCTGTCTTTTTTGATCAACGTTAATGACACAGACTGAATCAGGAATATTAGGCTGCTGTCACTTTAAGACCGAATGCACGGATCCAATATACTGATACACGTGCGTTTTCTTTCTCAACTGTTTGTTCACTGAAGAATAATGTGTTTACAAGTATACTGGCAAAGACGGCATTTTGACACACGTGGGTGTATTTGACCCTTCAAGCACAATACCGTCTTGTTATTGTTAACTAAAACGAAAACTCATTTGTCAATTGTAATAAAGCTAAAATAAAATAATTTGTTAATTTATTTGAGCTTTATTATCACACGGTTGGGTTGGACATCACTAGGGCTGCAACGATTAGTCGACATTGCGACAACGTCGACAATAAAAATTTGTCGACAAATATCTTTGTTGTCGAGTAGTCGTTTGATCTCACGTGACCTAATGTAAGGGCCTGCAATATCGCGATTTGACCGCTACGGCGCTGTAGCGCTTGTGTAGTGCAGCCCTTACAAATGCTATTGCGGTAGAAGAATAAACAGCGCGAATTATGACAGGGCAAACGAATCCGAACTAGCAAGGTTTGGGAAAGTTTCACAAAACTTAAAATCAAGAATGCTGTCGTGTGCAATACATGCAAGGCGGAACTTGCTTTTCATGGGAGCACAACATGCATGTGTGCAAGAGGAAACATCCCGGCACAAGAGGAGCCGGTGAGAGGAGAGTGTTCTCCAGCTGGAGCTTACTAACCAGCGGTAAATCTCTTTATTAGAGAATGCAATACTACTAATAATAGTAATAATATTATCAATAGTAATATAATTACAGTAATGTGATGACTTGTTCTATTGCACAGAATAAAGCTTGATCGAGCTTAGGAGTCAGGGCTGTTTTTATTATTGTAACATTAGGTATTATTATAGTCTTATCACTTGCCTGCATTTTGTTCAATAATCATGAAGACTTACAAAACGATATATGATATAATGATATAGGAAGAATATCATGGCAGTTACTTTTTCATACTGTAAATTAAAAGGTGAATGAGAACGTCTCTGTCAGCTCAATTGTCATGTAAAAAAAGATTGTAATTTTATACTTATAATAATTGTTTGCAGATTAATATTTTACCATTCTTTGTGTCCTGAAGTAAATGTCCTTTTTTCTGTTTCAGTTCTAAGAAAAGCATTGGGCCTATTAAACAATGCTTAGAGAGCATGATTTGAGTTGGACCGAAATCTGAAAACTTAGAGAATGACCTGTTTAGTTGGCTCAAAGTTCATTTAAACAACTATTTC